TATATATATATATAAGCAAAAAACTGCTTAGCATATATTCATTTGCATATGTGTGAGAAAAGTAAGTTCTGAGCCCAGGATATGTGCATTAGTTCTGTAAATGCATTTAACTTCTTTAGAATCTAGAAATGCAGTACTCATACCCATATTCAAATTATTGAATTTTGAATTCAGGTTATTCCTCAGCCGTCTTTATATCTCCATTTGTGTTGAACTCCCTCTCCCCACTCTTTCTTTCTGCCTTTTCTCGTTAAACCTGTTCGTCTTTTGCCTCTTACATCTTACCTTTGTGTAAGCTGTGCCACTGGCTCTTTTCCACACACTTAGAAATACATCCATTATCTGGAAAAGGCTTTTAAGGCTGCAGAGAGAAAGAGAGCTGAAGAAAGAGGCATATGAAGTGTTAGGACAAGGTGACTGCTCTAATGATGTTACTTTCTGATAGCTTGGTCTGATTGCCCGAGTGTTCTTCTTACACCTAGACAAGTAGCCCTCATCAAACCAAGAGAGGAGTTATAGATTTCTAACAACCCTCTTCAACCACTAATGGTCAAAAAGGAAAGAAAGCCAGCAAGAAGGGAAATTTTGCTCTGTTCTTGCCCCACAGATTTTCTCGGAGACATCTGAAGTACTCAGAACATTGTGAAAACCTGGGAATAAAATGCCTTAGTTAATGAGAGGTCTCTTTCTGCCAAAATTTACTCCACTTAACACTATTTTCTTCCAGTTTGTCTTTCTTTCTTTCTTTCTTTCTTCCCTCCCTCTTTCCTTCCTTACTTCGACTATATTTCTTACTTTCTTTCTTTCTTCCCTCCCTCTTTCCTTCCTTCCTTACTTCGACTATATTTTCACTGTTGCTCTTTTTTTAAATCAAAATTTTCTCTATGTAGCACATTTTCTCCACCATGGTAATGTTGTTCCGTTAATTGATTAGGTAATATATAGTGCTACTATTTCATTAATTCAACTTATTAATACTGGGCAACTTTTCCCTGAATTTTTTGGTGGGGAAAAAATAAATGCTGTAACTGTCAATGCCTGAAACTTTGCTGGGTTGTGTAAGTCGCCTGCTTGTAAAACTTGCTTTATTTTATAATGTTCCTACTTTTGTGAACTTTTATGATGTTATTGAATATGCAACATTGGATTTTATATACTGTTGTGCAATCAAATATATTATGTAACTAATTATGATTTTGATTGCAGTCAAAGTTATTCATTAGATTGTAAGTGTTTACAAATGTTAACTTATCAATTGTTGCATTCATATTGCATTCGTTTAATATAGCCATGTCGTGATTTTTCAGTAGGTAGTTTTTTTGTTTTTTTTTATCACTTGCTAATATGTAAGGTTACAAAATAGTGTGTTAAAACAAGTAAGCCTTCAGGAGCTCTATAATGACACCTAATTTCAGTAGAGTAACAAATAAACAGCTTTTACAAAAGGTAGAACGATAACAAAATGACACATATTTCCTGTTTATAATTTCAAGGCTGTTTTATATGGTTTGAGCTAGCTTAAGCGTCAAGTCATTTGGGATGGATCAGTCAGGTGTTTTGTTGCTGCAGGAAATTGTCTTGTCCATGTGACTGGCACCATGGACTCTTTGAAGTTTCAAGCCATTTTGGCGAAGAGTGTGATGCCTTCAGTGTGTAAATTGAAGCTTGGTTATCATTGGACTTTCCAGCGAGACAATGATACGGAGCATCTACCAGCACTTGTTTCAGGGATGGGTCCTGGAATGTCCTTGAGTGGCCATCTCAGCCTCCGGATTTAAATCCCATTGAAAATATTTGATGGGATTTGAAACAAGTGGTGGCAGCACAGAAAGCACAAAATGTCAGTGAGCTGGAAGCTTTTCACATGAGCAGTAGGCTAAGAGTCCAATAGAAAGATGTCAGGATCCTCTGAGCATTTGCCAGAAGCATTTATTGGAGGGTATGAAGGGTAAAGAATGCTCCGCCAAATACTTTTTGACTTTTGGGGTTGAATAGTTTTGCACATGGACATTTGTAGAGATTCAACTGTTTACTGAGGCTCTAGTTTGGTGCCACTCAGTTTTATTCGCATCAGCAGAATGTCTTGTATATCAGGGGAATGGTTTTGATTGCAGCTGAAATTCAATTTGATGGAGTGTACAACTGGCTAAAATTCAGAAATATATATATATAAAAAAAAAAGATTATAAAGTTCTAAAGAACAGCATTTATTTGAAATGGAAACCTTTTTAAACATTATACATGTCTTTACTGTCACTTTTAGTCAATTTAATGAATCTGTGCTAAATAAAAGTATTAGTATATTTTTACTGTCCCAAAATGATTAAATGGTAGAGTATGTTGTACTAATGCTTGTAAATCAAATTCACTTATAATTTATATACAAGTTTTATTCACTTATAACTTTTTCTGTTTTTGAAGTCAGGCTTCTGTCAGGTTGTTGAGCTGTAAACATTTAAACGTATAACACAACACTAAATCTAAAGAACTGAAATGAACTGAAATGTCTCCACATAACACTGAACATCTATTCGCTTCATACTTTCCTTGTTTCCTCAATAGTCTGCTCTATCTCTGTCTTTTTTCTCTCTAGCAAGCAGTGAAGGAGAATGCAAGGAGAAGAGAGGCGGAGGAGAAGCAGAGGAAAGCGAGGATAGCCAAAGAGAAGGCGGAACGAGAGAAGCAGGAGCGGCAGACGAAGAAGAAGAGACTGCTGGAGGTCAACACAGGTGAAATGTTTATCAGTTACTCACTAAAAGTTTTCACGAGAGTGAGCTTTAGAAAAATCACCTTTGAAGATGGATGAAACGAGTCCCTGCACACGTTCCTAGGAGCTTGTTTTAAACCGACAGAAGAGAGACACAAGTGAGAGCATATGTGTGTCCTGTTGTCAATCTGTTACCATGTGAACAGCCCATCGCTGTTATAATACCCCACACACAATAGAAATTCAATGCTGTGACTTTCACAATGTTGAAGACCTTGCTTTGTAGTGACTCTCAGTTCTGAATCAAGCCGATCTGCATTTACACACTTCCTATAATGTTTACTCAGGCTTTTATATATTTATCTGAGCGAGCATCAACATCATAATGATACAACGAAATGCATGATGATATTAGAGATGTGATTGGATTACAAACAGGTTCTGTGCACTCATGAGACACACACATGAAATGAGTTTGCTATAATATATGTTGCCACTCTGCTGTTGCCTCCTGCTGTTTGAGGAATGTGTGTGAGGATGTACACGGACACAGCAGGCTCACAGTGTTCACTGGGATGAGTTTTGTGTCTGAATCAGGTCTCACGCTGTGTGTTCTTCATGCACTTAATACAAAAAACACAACACAAAAGCACACTTACAAATGATAATATGGAGTGTGGCATGATGAGGAGTCAGTAGTGAATGTGGTGTTTGGTTATGGTAGGATGTGAGGTGGTAGTTGACAGTGGGCCATGAAGTATAGTGCAAGGGTGAGGGGCTAAAATGGGCAAGATGTGGCAAGAGTTAGGGATGCATAATGTGTTGGCAGTCATAGTACTATCAGCCAATAAATGTGATTTCACTTTTGTAGTATTGACCAGATAAGTGAAGTAAGCCAATATATTTTAAGATGGCAAATTATAGCAAAATAATCTTGATACTCTCATTTCTGGCTAGCCTAGCTATTGTTAAACAATATAAATACATTAAAAATAAATTAACATTTTTTAATCTACGGAACACAGGAATTTAAATAGTAATAATAATAATGCATTTTATATATATATATATATATATATATATATATATACAGGTGC